GTGATTGGGTAACAGAGATGGGGTGGTAAGAGAGATGGAGTGGTGAACTCAAGAATTAGAATTGTTCAATTTAATACTCATAGCAAATCAAACTGCAGTTAATTTTTTTTTTTTTATATATAGTTTCATACTTGTGAATTTGGTCAAGAGAATTTATTATATATATAAATGCAAGATTTTATTCTATAAATGCAAGATTGGAAAGTTTTGACTACAAAGGTTGTAACTTTGACTGAATTCAAAAGTACTATCATACTAATTCAATAGAATGTCTTTTCTCAGAAAAAGGTCCAGTTGTATTTTTTGTTTTATTATCTTGAAAAGAAACGTGCTTTATGAAGTTTGTTTCAAGGTGTGGTTGCTTAAACATATCGACTCTCATAATATACTGCGTTAAGCTTTTTAAGTAGCTTTTCTTTCTTATATTGTTTTTGTTCCGAAATCAGTAGAGGCTGAGATATGTCAAAGGTTTTGTTTTCTGAAATTCTTCAAGTGTTCTCTGTGTTTTACTCCGGTGGTCAAGGTGAATCCGATCAATCACATGCAGGCTGCCACGTTGCAGAGCTAGGTTTTCAATAGATACACGTGGGCTTCCACTTGTAATAAGATCAAATTTGTTGTTGTGTTGGCTATTGGGCCTTCATAATCTCTTGTATCTGCTGTTCAAGCCCAATGAGCTTTAAGTTAATGAAATGTTGTTGCCAATAGAAACACAACATCGACTTCTTAGAGGCATCCAAGTCGAGATGATTCGGATATGGAAGGTGACAGTATTTCTTTATTTTCGTTTATTACGTTTTTTTTTTGGTCAACTATTTTTGTTTATTACATAAAATGTTGTTTTCTAACCAAAAAGTCTTAACACAAATCTCCGATAATTTGTTTTTTTAACACAAATCTATGACCATTACAAATTTTACATGCATGTTTATCTATTGCTTTTAAAATGATCACCACTAGTTAAAAATAACTAAATTCAAAACTAAACATACCTGAGGCGAAAGCATTATAGTTGGACAATGAAACTGCTAATATTACTACGAAAACAAAAGTTACCATAGTTTTTGTAATACCCATAGTACTTTTTGGTATGAAATCTGTTGAAGGAAATTAAGATGTTTTTTTTAATTTTTTGGATTTTAATTAGTGAGAGAGGCTCTATTTATATAACTTTTGGTCTTGGGATTTTTTTTACTATTAATTGCTTTTCCATATGTGCACGTACGAATTATATTTTTGGCAAAAAATCCATAGACATTTATTTGAATTTTGGCCTAACGTATAATTTTCTCAGTTTTGACACCATTTTACATATATTTATTTTGTTTTTATCCCCCATTCACAAATTATTTTAATTAAAATCTAATATGGATAGAGCAAATCAAAGTCTGATACTTGTGAATTTGGTCAAAGAAATTTATTATATACTACAATAGAACCCGTGTTAATACGCGGATAAATACAATAAAAATTAATAAAATAAATATTTAAATTTAATTAGTAATCCATTAAATTTTAAAATACTATTTAACACGAATACTAAAATCACTAGAAGTCAATTTATATCATAATTCTCAGGTTCTATTACATATTATGCAAATCCAAAATATATATTATCGGAATTTAAATCATATTCTTAATAACAGAGAAAATATATATTTTAACATATTATGAATATTTATGATTATGTGATAGAAAATAAAAACAACTAAAATACTATAAAGTTAAATCAGAAAAGAATAAATTTTATGTTAGTAACCTCGTAAAGACTATAAATAATGTTGTGAATCACATAAGTACATGATTGATAATTGTATTTTATTAATGTCATTGTTTTATTTTTTATAGAGATTTATACTCGTCAAACATTATATAGTATTAACTTAATAGTAAATATAATATTATTATATTTAACTTATATAATTTCAATATATTCACTTGAAAAGTACTAATGACGTCATAGGTCAAAAATTTCATTTTTTTGTGATATCTTGTAGCTCTATATTGATAAAATAAGTATTCTTATACATTTTATTTTTATTTTATTTTTGCATGGTTGTGTATACTTTTAAACTTTTAAATTTAGGTTTCTATAACCTTTCTAAATTTTATTTTTCCAATTTATATACCTTATTTTTTTTTATCATTTGTCATTTAATTTATTTTAATTGAGATT